GAGGTTGGGTGAATTAAATGCATCGTTGACTGAGGATGCTTTCAGCTAAGTTGGGTTTGCTGGGACAGAGCCCCACCAGAAGTTGAGCAGTGACTGTGGGTTCTCCCTTGGCTGGGGCGGGCACCAAGTGCTACCAGAGGACTGAGGGAGCTCCGTGCTTGGGCAAAGGTAACAGGTGCTACACGAAATCTGGACTGTGTCAGCAGTGGCCACCAACAGACACCTTGCAGGGGTGGCCTAGGCTGGGCACTTCTACCAGGTCTGGCTGGGCCTGCCTGCCTCTGTGGTGCCTAGGGTTTGGCTGGTATTGGTGGGCTCAGCTGGGCAGCCTTGCTTTTTACTGTGGTCCGGGTGACTCAGGCTCCCTGCAGGGGCAGTCAGACCAGCTCTTTTCCATATACTGCTCCTCCTTCTCCTGGGCCTGGGCATGTGGTTCTAACAAGGCTGGCAGAAGAACAGGGGGCACATGGGGACACTGTCACTTTCACATGACTGGATACTGTGCTGTTCCCTATACATACATAGGTAGGACACGTATAGCATCCTGGGGAGCAGCCTCAAACCCAGGCTTGGCAGGAGCTGGTGGGTAACTCTGAGCCAAGCTCTGTCTACACTGCTTCCAGGAGCTCTCTAGGGAAACTAAGTTCCTATTGCCCTCAGTGGCAATTTGCATAACTCCTGCGGCTGCTCTTCTTTCTAGATACCACTTCCTGTGTCCCCTTCTGGTGCTTCCTGGGATTTCTATGCAAATCCCAGTGAAGTGCAGCTGTGCCTTGGTATCCATGAAGGATCGGTGCCAGGGCTTCCCTATGCTGAAATACACAGTTGCTCCTGTTCCTTATGTAACTAGAATGGCACTTGCCTATGACCTGTGCATGTCCGCTATACACTTTATGGCATGTCTGGGTGACTTATGACACCTAATAATTCAAATGCCGTGTGAACAGCTGTTACACTGTGTTGGATAGGGAGGAATGACAGGAAAAAAGGTCTCTGCATGTTCAGTCGGAACTCACGGGCATGAAAAAGATGACTGCACCTGTTTTCAAGGTCTGGTCTTGTGGTCTGCCTTGGAAAACATCCCAACACCTGGCAGAAGGTCTCTTTGGGTTTTACAGGCTCAACAGCCATTCACTCACCTTTGTGGTCTTAGCAAAGGAGGCCCCTGGAGAGAGCATGGGAAGGTATAGTCACACCCATGGGTTCTTGAAGAGGAGTCCTCTCGTCCAGGGCTCTGCCCAGGGACCCCACACTTGGCCAGCACTGTGAGTTAACCTGCAGTCATCGCTGGCCTGGGAGCCATGCAGCAAGGACATGCACTGTCCCCACTCTCCTGCCTCACCTGCACATGTGTCCCATTCCCGTGTCCTTCCCAAGCTGGGTGATGCTGTGTGTGCGAGAATCTTACCATAGGTCCCTTGTGCCCTCTTCCCCCATTTCATGCTATTATGGAGGCGGAAGAGGGAAAATTTTAATTATTTGGAATGGTGAACATTTACGAGTGGACTGGATCCTTCAGAGTAAAGCCAAGCACAGAACCATAGTGGTTGTTATTATCCTTTGCTCTTAATGCTTAACAGGCTCAATGCGGATTTGTCGAATTACATGAACACTAATGACTTACATTCCTATTGATTTACACTTGCAGAGCATTTTAATTCTCAGTTGAATGGAAAGAACACTGAACTCCTGGCATACTCTCATCCCTCTCTTAAAACATACAAAGTTGGCTTGAGTGAAATCTTAACTTCTCATGGAGGAGTTTTTCTTTGATTTCAGCACCAACACAGAACATTTCTGTTGATTTCATCCTTCAAGAGATTCCAGAGGCCTCCGGTCCAGGGCTGAGGTCGGTGCACACACCGCATACCTGCTGCCTCCCTCCCTAGGTGAGTGGCAGCTCCCCATGCCCACGGCTCTTTGCCCAGGGCTGTCCCCGCGGCTGGGTGGAGGAGGAAGGGCTGTCTAGGGACATCCTCTGGTACCAGAGCTCCTCCTCTAGTGTCCAACAGAGTGGGAGTACAGATTCCCCATCCTTCCAGGCTCCTCCTGCCACACACAGGCCTTTCACACCACGGCCCAGGGCTCCCGAGTGGAACGCAGTTCCAGCTGTCCACGGAGGTCAGGGGCTTGCCTGCGGGTGGCCTACTGGCTACCTCCCTTCCAGTCTCTCCTCTCCCTCCAGCTCTGTTTCCTGGGGCCGCTTGCCAAATGAATGCACTCCTTGTGTCCAGGCCCTTGACTCAGGATCTGCCGCTGGGGACCTCCAGAGTACCTCTGCAGGGGCCCGCAGTGGCTCCCCACCGCCGAGCCATTAAGTCACCCAAGCAGGCGAGACACTGCCCACCGGTCCTTCGCTCCCACCATTTCCCAGCTGGCGTCCTCCCCGGGATGCATCGCTCTGGCCCACTCCGCTTGCCACTCTCACGCTGTTACAGATGGGGTCAAATTTCTAACTAAAATAAAGACGACAGAGGAGGGAATTTTCTGGGAGAAGCTACTGAACCCGTGGAATGCCCCATGCCACCAGATAATTGAAAACATTTAAAAACGTACATTTCCAGTTCTCTCAGCTCTTCTGAGCAGGTTATGGGGCCTGGTTTCAGTGTCCCAGTCTTCATCCCTCCTGCAGAGCAAGGGCCACTGTAAACACCCCAAGTATCCAACAATCGGGGATTGAACTGTTCTGATAAATCATGGCATGAGGTAACGCTATACAGTGCCTAAAAACTTCTCTGGAGAATATTTAAATAATATAAAAATATTCCTGGTGTATCAGGCAGATGAGTGAACACTGTGAGTCAAATTTCATTTAAACATACACTAGGAATGGAAGTTCAGGATATTAAAATGGTAATATTATGGCTAGTTTTTAATTTGCTTTATGCTTTTCCAAAATTTCTACTGAGAGCATGTATTTGTTTTTTAATTAAGGAAAATGATCTTGGAAAAAAAATAAAGGAAGAAGATTCCAAGTGCTCGGAGCCCAGCCTAGTGCTCAAGGTCAGCCAGCCCTCTGTGAGGCCACCTCGATTCCCAGGCTCCGGAGAGGGATCTCACGGACACTAGTGCTACCCCTGCAGCTCTGCAGAGCCTTGGGGGATTTCCCTTGAGGTGAAGTAGCCTGATCCACCCTCTGCCCTCTCAAATTTGCAGGGCTGGGGATTAAACCCAGGGCCTTTGTGCTGAGCTACATCTCCAGTCCTTTCTATGTTTTATTTTGTGGCAGGGTCTCACTAAGTTACTAAACTGCCTAGTCTGGGCTCCAGTTTGTGATCCCCACCTCAGCCTCCCAGAGTGCCAGGGCCAGGGACACACATACCGTGTCTGGCTGAGACCTCTTTTTAATCTGATAGCTGGCATCTGAAGCAGATGTCCAGAAACTCCCAGGCTGGGTGCTGGGAAGCATAGGCCTTGGAGACCGGTCACAGTGTCCTTGGCCTTCCAAAGTTGACTGTGGGTGCAGGAGGGAAGTCACCCCACCTTGGAACAACATTTACTTGGGAATTAGCCGACCTTGTATAGCTGCTGCAGGAGGCGCCGGGTCCAGGGACTGTGGCAACCTTGGGAAGCACTGGGGCTCTGTGCGCAGAGGGCACTCCTGCCCACCATGCTGGCCTATGTGCTCTGCAACTGTGTCCTTTCTCTGCCTCTGCAGGGCAGCAGGGCCTTGGAGAAAGTGCCACACATGCGCTTCGCAACCTCTCCTCCAGAGACACCTCAGACCCCTCTCCTGGGATTCGGAGGCCACAGAGCCAGGGAGAGCACCAGAGGGGCCACGGGCAACAGGGCGGACGACCAGGGGTGCAGGCAGTCACCAGGACCAGGGAGGAGAAAGAGGCCCAGTGAGGCCAGCTCTGCAACTTCCAAGCAGGGTGTCACTGTCTTTTCTCTGAAATTGGATTATTATTCCTGGGAACACAGATGAGGTTCGGTCACTGTCATTTCTCTCGGGGGCTGTCATGACTGAACTGCGAATGATTCAGTTTATGTTTTTTAACACTAAAATGATTTTCAGCTCAATTTTCAGGCATGCAGGTTTATAAGCCACACAGTAGGCAGAGAACCACCATTGCCATATTTCCTGAAACCCAGTGAACAGAGCACACAGAAACCCACTTTCAGCAACATTGATAACAGGCCTTTGGGGCAGAGGACCCAGAACGGAGACTGTGGACACTTCTGCTTTAAACCTCCCTTTCTCCTCTTTAAGGAGAAGCCCTTTCCTAAACGCAAGTCTCTTCAGCTACTAAGCTGACAGTTTTATGTGTAAACATGGAGTTTTATTGGGGAAGAATAGGTTAGTGACAGCTGGAATACTCTGAAAGGAACACACCAATGTGTGATGAGCATACTCTTTGGGGTTAAAAGTGATTGATTCCACGAAAGGACTTTTAGGGGCAGTGTTCACTATGACTCTGAAGAGCTCACGCCTGTAAGGGTCATGCTCAGTGTGCTGTGTGTGCTTGTGTGAGTGTTTCTGTGTATTGTGCAGTCAATGTGAAGTGGCCACAACCAACAAAAACAGCAAAAAGATAAAGTTCTTAACTCTCACACAGCGATGGGTGCACAGTGAGTTGCTACCGTGTTTGGTTTTGTCCAGCCAGAACCCACACGGCTCGCTTCCCCCATCAGTGCAGCTGGAGGTGACCTGGACCTGCCAGATGTCTTTTCTTCCTTCTTTCACCCTGATTTTCTTTATACTCTGTTCTTTCAGACTTCTAGTGTCTTTGGCTTCTTCTCATGAAACCATGGCCCTTGATCTTTGCCTTTGACCTGAACTGAGATGGTAACAAAATAGGCTCTGTGCGTGCGTGCACATGTGTCTGAATGTGCCTGCAGGTGTGTCTGTGAGTGCATGTGTGATCTGTGTGGGTGTGAACAGGTTTGTTCCTGTAGCTTGCAAGTGTGTGTCCTCAAGTGTGTTCCTAATAACCTGGGCTCCAGAACACTGACAAGCATTCACTCCCTTCCCCCACCTGATGCCCACTCCTACTTACATAGTTGGAGGCCAGGTCGGGGTGGAGGTAGTCAATCCCTGTGAAAAGACCACAACACAAGAACAGGGGGTTAATACCTACCACTGCATCCTCAGGAAGGCTGGCCCAGGAAGCCCCTGTTTGGGACTGGTGCCTGGAGCCTTGTCTCAGGGGAGCAAATATTACCCTCCTATGGGCGGGCAGGCTGCAGCTGGGTAGAGAGATAGCTGCCCACAGCACCCTTGAGAGGAACCAAGCCAATTAGAGCTCGGGCCCCAGGATGATCAGGCATCAATGTCAGCATGAGAGGGCTTAGTGACTATGAGATGGAGGGCGCACCAAGGCAGCGATCTAAAAGAGATTTGTAAAAATGCTGACATTTCTAAAGCACCAGCTGGCATTTCTTCGGAAACGAAGTTGGCCCTGAAGAGGAAAAGGGATGATTATTTACCAGGGCCAGGCATCAATGCATTAGGCAAGCACGCTCTGGCATGGGAAGAGGAAGAGGGTGGGGCCGGGAGAGCCATTAGCAAAGGGCCAATGTTTTCATTGAGGAGTCCCGTGTATGACGCATGTCTTTCCAGGACGCTGAGGCTTTGAGTCTCTCAATAATGGGTCTGTCTTGCTGCCCAGGGGTCATTCCCAGGGTAGAATTACAACAAGGAGCACTGCTGGGTCTTATCAGATGTCACCACAGAACAGCAAGGGCCACTGAAAATCTCTCATCTGGGTCTGAAGAACCATATAATCTTCACAGCAGTCACATTTGGGCATCTAGTCCTCAGAGAGATGGAGGGGCAGCCAAGTTGCCTCATGCTGCTCTGCAGAGCAATGGTCATGAGCAGGTATTTGCAGTCAGAGACCAGTGCTTAATTTCCAGTCACCCTGATAACTAGCAGCAGGACCTCAGGCAGGTTGCTTGGCCTCCTGTGCTTGCTTCTTTTAAAACTACTGGAGGTGAGAAGAAGGCAGAGGTGAAAGAAGCTGATGCATGTATGTGCTGAGCCCAGCAGCTGCTGCATTTCATAACTACACTACGACACAATCCTTATGCTCTGGAGGTATCATTAAGTGCCTCCCGGAGCTAATGTCTTTGCTATATACTCTGAGGCTGTGTCGCTATTATAGCTTTGCCCTGGAAAAAGGGACCTCTCTTAGAAGGGATGATTAAGAAGAAAATTTCTTTTGTTTCTTTCTGTCTCTTTCTACAAATTTGTTCTGGAGTGTGAGCCCCAGAAAGATGGTTCCTGAGAGTCATTTTTCACCCACAGCTGGATCGCCTGCTCCTTCCATCCCCCTCCCCAGCTCTGCAAAGGGGAGGGTTCAGCAGCTTTAATGACTAATGCTTTAAAATCTGACAGGGTGGTCCATGCCTGCCATCCAGCACTTTAGGAAGCTGAGGCAGGCGGATTACAAGTTTGAGCCCAGCCTGGATAATTTAACATTTTAGAGACTCAGTCTCAAGGTTAAATAATTTTTAAAGAGCAAAAGGGCTATAATGTGACTCAGTGTAAAGGCTTTGGGTTCAATCCCTAGCACCACTAAACATACAACGCATGTTTTTAAAAGTTATCCATTCTTGTTCTGGACCCAAATTGAATGATGGCCAATTTAGGATGTGGGAGGAACCAGGAATGACGGCAGGCTTTGGACTGATCCGATCCAGTTCCATTTAGGGATCGGACACTCAACACTGGAATGGCTTTGGCCAAGTGACAATGGCACTCGAGCCTTTGTTTCCCCAGCTTTGGAGTGGGACCATTGTTCACCAGGCACAGTGGTTTTCAGGCTCAGAAACAATTCACTGAGTGCTCAACTGGAGGTAAAAACCTTCATGTATTTTATCTCTTGTCATCATTGGTGCCACCATCCCCACCTTGATGGAGCAGTGAGATAACGTGGGACAAAACCAGCTTTAAAAATCTTGGTTTTAGAATCTAGTGTTGAAATTAAATTATGCCCTTGTTAAAAATTGGTTAACTTTGTTGGGGCATTTTTTTAAACACACAAGTAGACTTAAAAAGACTCATAAGCATACACAGACACTTTCTAACCGGAAGTCAGGTATTAAAACATGACTTCATGTTCTGAAGGTGGAATTTAAGAGAAAAATATTCTGAGAATTACTAATCTCTCCTCTGCAGAAAGAAAATATTGGAGCAGGAAGATAATTTGAAACCAGAATAAAATTAGACTTAAAACAAGATAAATTTAGCTTCATTAAAATAAAGGTCCTTTAATAGGTTAAAGAGAAGACTAAGTGTGGGGGTAGAATGAAAGTTGGCCTCGGAAAATTTATTTAGAAATGTGAAAGATGATAGACCTGATTCATGAAAGTAATAATGAAGTAATAAATGAAAATAATAACCAGATAGCATTATTATTCTGGGGTATTTCAATCTACTGAAATAATTTCTTAATCAGCTTCCTTATTTTTTAATTCTTACATTATTATCGTACTCTCATTTTCTATACTTCTGTTTGTTTTTCAACAATGAATGCCTGGCACACTGCAGATGTTAGAAAGCCGGCTGGTTTAGTCCCACCCCACATGGCGCAGTTGCTTGTGGTCATACTGTGACAGTGCGGCTTGGTTCCCTGACTTGTGATGCATTAGGCGTAAGGAATGTGGCACACAGATGACAAGTTCTGGCTGGTAGTTTTGCTCATAAATCATTAATAATCTGCTATCCATTTGAATCTTTTCACAAGTCTAACCCACACTAGTCTAAATTCTCAGGAAGCTCTGACAATTTGGAAAACATCAGAGCAAGAACAAAGAGCTCCTGGATGTGTTCCTACCAGGGTTGTTCACAGTTGAGATGTATGACAGTTCAGGGCCAGGCCCCAGCTTAGGTCCTTTCATGGCCTCCATCCATCCTACTGAATTGTGTCTTGATGAGGAATGGGTCTGATGTACATATTGTATGTCCAAAGGTGCCCAGCCCGAATGACCGGTCCCATGTCTTCTACAGGTGACATGGTCATGCTTCTCCTAGACAGCTGAGTCGATAGCCTCCGCTTCCATCTTGATGGCCTTGTAACTTCATCAGGTGGTAGAAGCAAAGGACATCACTGCATGACTTGTAAGGTTAGGCCAGGAAAGGCCTGGAAGCATTTGGAAGTGAGGGTTACAAAAAGCCAACGTTGCCCTGAAGGGAGCGGGAAGAGTGAGGCTGATGAGGTCCAGAGGGAAAAACCTAGAGGGAAGGTGCAGTTCTCCTTAGACTCTAGGTGTGGTAATGAGAAAACAGACTTATCTGGAGAGGCAATTCTGATGAAATCTCAGATAGAAACAAAGAATAAGGTGCTGGGAGCTGGAGGGACGGTGTTCTTGCTGCAGAGGGGCAGAGGCCTGGGTGGATGAAGTCCTTGTCCTAATGCTTAATGGAAGGCACAACTTGAGTGTGATGAGCTAGGACATCTGGCAGAAGAACTCTCTGAGCAAAGCATCGAGGGCATGGCCCAGCTTCTTCTGACTGTGTATAATAAAATGCAGGATTTATGATTCAAAGGGAAACAGAACTTGTAGAACTGGAGAAGCTTTGATCTGACCCGTAAGAAGCGGGAACATATGTTCATGGGTGGGTGCTTGACAGCGAGGCTCGTGCGGATGGAAGGAAGCATGATGGCCTCCGTCACAAGGTTGGGACTGTTCCTGGGGTCTTCCTGGCTGCCCTGCTCAGCATAGGCTCTGAGTGTGCTGGCTGTGAAATCAGAATGGTTTCAGAAAAAGGGCCTGGGGTACCTCTGCAGTCTCGAAGCTTGCTGCTCAGGGGAGCCTCCAAGTTTCTGCCTCAGGTATTTGGGCACCCTGCTTCTTGGCTGCCAAGATGTGTCTCAAGTATGCAGACATTTGTCTCAGGCTCTCTGTAGAAAGTTTGGCATGAAGTGCTAACTCTGCAGGATGCAAAAGCAGAGCTGCCTCTAGATTATAAAGGATCAAGGCCCAGGCAGACAACCACAGGGATGCAGATATGGTAGAGAACCTCACGAGGACAATATTCAGCAGACTGCTCTCCAGACCCCAGAAACAGGCCAATATGTGACTCTGGCTTGGGAGAATCACAGGCACAGGACTTTAAACCACAGGAGTAGCTGCATGGGCTGAGCGCAGTGAAGCCATGGGGCAGGGTTGTAGGGATCCTTAGGGAGTCATACGGACGGACCCCGCTTCAGTGGTCCAGAAGATGGGTCAAGGAGTAAATGCCTATCCTCAAGCCTGAAGATCTTTTGTTTGCTCTTTTGAATTTTGGACTTGGGACTGGTTATCTACTGTTTTGTTCTCATTTTCTATCTTCCTTTTGGAATGAGAATGTCTGTCCTATTCCAGTTTTACCACTGGATTGGAACTTGTCTGATTTTGCTGGATCACAGCTGGAGAGCAATTAGCCTTGGGATGAATTATATCCCAGACTTCACCCATGTCTGATTTAGACGGTATTTAGGTGAGAGGGTGGCCTCTCTGATGGCTGGCGGAGGACACCCAGCAGACTTTTAACTGGTGGTGCTGTAACAAGTTAAGGTTCTGGAGCTGCTTAAGAAGGACAGGAATTTGAGGAGCCAGGGTGGAAGGCTATGGTTTGAGCGTTTGCATTCTCCCAAAATTCAGGTTAAACATAATCCCTAGGGTAAAAATGTTTGCAGATAAAGCCTTTAGGGGGTGATTCAGTCTTGAGGGCCAACCCCTCATGAACAGGAGTAGCACTCTTCTAAAAGGCCAAGAAGGAGCAGGTTCATTCCTGCTCTCATCCCATGTCACATGAGCAGGCAGAGCTCGTCCTCTCAGAGGAGCTGAAGAAGAGGCACCATTGTGGAAGTAGAGGAGTGGATCTCACCAGGCACTGAATCTGCTGGCACCTTGGTTTGGGACTTGCTAGCTCCCATGTGGGGGAAATAAATGGCTACAATTTACCAGTTACTCAGTTGAAGGTATTTTGTTATAGTGGTAAGAATGTACTGAGAGAAGGACATTGTAAACATGAAAGCTATTTCCCTGGAGTCCTGTCAGTGTAAGCTAGAATTTATAGCCACTCTTTTAAGAGAAGCCTCAAGGCCACATGAGAGGAAATTACAATGTACTCGCTTGTTGTGACTCTCTCTGTGGAGCTCCCCTGGCAGTCACTAGCTATGCAGTGAGCCACCTTGGTGTCCAGCCTCTCTTTGTACATGAGGCAGGATCTGTTTTCCCTCCCCTGGGCTGATGATGCTGGAACCATCACCCAGCAGAAATGGCAGGGACGACCTCCTCTGCAGGTCCAGCCTCAGTGAGGACTGGAGCTCTTCCTTCACTCTCTGGATACCCAATCTTAGGAGTCCTGAGCCCTCTTGTCTGAAATCCAGCCAGTTTTCTGGGAAGGAGAAGTCCCAGGGCTACATTGAAAGCAAGAGAGGCTGAATCTCTAGTGGGCTCCAATCCCAGCTATTTTTGATGCCAAGCGCCTGAGAGAGCCCAGGGAGACAGCAGCAGAACCTATCATTCCACAGAACCATGAGATCATAACATTGCTGCTCTTTTGAAAAATTTTTGGAATGGCTGATTTTTTGACAGCAGAGGACTAGAACAATGGAGGTCCCAGGAGTTTTAATTGGGGATGGGCAGCAAGTTCATCCTTTCGAGATCCCAAAGGCCATGAATTTGTGGAAGAAATATCAAACAAGAAATTCTACTGGAACTTTCTAAAGGGTTTGGTTTATTAGCATGGGACAGTCACAAATGATCTGAAGCATCAGGCAAGGGATAAAGCTAAGAATTTGGAAATGAACACTTGCAATGCTTCTGGAGGCATCATAAGAGCAATATACACGTATCGTCACTGTAGTGTCACTTAGGGTGGTCTCTCTGGTGGCTGGTGGAGGACACCCAGTAAAGAGGTTGTTGGAATTGATCACCAGATCTCGGTGCATCTTTTTTTGGGGTGAGCTGGCCTTAACTGCTTTGGATAAGTTTCCTAGCCGAAGTGTTAGGAAGGAAAGACACTCACAAGCTGCAGACATCTGTCCATGACCAGTTTGGTGCAGAGCTCCTTTATTTTCTGCAAGCCCTCAGCTGCAGGAGGAAGCTTTTGCATCCACTTCAAAACATCGCACGGGTCAGAGACATATGGAGACCTTGTTGGCGTGTTGCTCCTCAGTGACCCCGAGCAAAGGTAGCACAGATTTTAAGCATGCTGTCTCCCTGTTCCCTCCATCCAGAAAGCTTCAAAGGCTTGCTTTCGACAACACAGTGTGCTTTGAGGATCTTCAGAAAGGACAGGCTCCATTGTTTCATCTCTGCACAGCCTTTGCATGTAATTAGATCCATAATGCACAGCGGAGCTTTTACCTGGGGGCTCAGAGCACTAAGGAGGGGCAGAGGCTCAGCCCCATGAAATGACCACATGCTGGTGACTCTACAGGATCCAGCCAGGGGCAAGGACATATGCACATGGCAAAAACCAATTCATCAAAGTCATTCCATAGAAATTCAAGTCTTAAAACTACAGCAAATAAAGCTCTGATAAATCTCTGGCAGGCACACAGGATAGAATAATACAGAAGTGGTGTCTGTATCAAAAGGTTACTGAAATTTGCTTCACCAGGGTCATTCTAAAAGTAGCATTAAAGTCAAATGTCCCCAAACCCTGATCCTGTTACTCAAAAGCTATTTCATAGATCTAGAGCCACACAGTTTTATAGAACTTTGTATGGTGATTGAAATGTAATTGGTCTGAATTTCAGAGGCTGAAACAGCCCATGGACCACTAAGAAGTTGAAATGACAGGCCGAGTTGTAGGTCCATGGTAGAGTGCTTGCTTAGCATGAGGAGGGACCTGGGTTTGATCCCCAGCACCACAAAAAAACAGAACCAAACAATTTGAAATGAAGCTGATGTGACTGAAGAATTGAATTTTTGATTTTCTTTAGCTTTAATTCACTAAAACTTAAGCCACTATCTATAGGTAGTGGCTACTGCATCACAGTGTGGTTCTTAGAGAAATATATGGTAAGGATAAATAGATTTAGAACTCTTCTTTTTTAATTTTAATTTTTTTGGATAGGCTCTCACTATGTAGTTCAGGCTGGCCCTGGACTCACTTTGTAGCCCAGGTTGGCCTTGAACTTTCTGATGATCCTCCTGTCTCCCCCCAAGTGCTGGGATTATAGGCATACACAGCTTAGAACACTTCTTAAGATAAAGTATAACTTGTGGCCCAATAAGAAATTGAGGTTGATTGACAGGCAGTTGTCATTTGTTGAATTTCTTGTTTATTCATTCAAAAGTATTTGTTAAGGTCATTACCGAGTGGCCACTGATTCAGAGAAAGGGGAGGATTTAGTCACAGTGTTGTGTGGTTAGCAGGTCTAGAATCAGAGATGCCAATCCTGTCACCAATGAGCATCTCTGAAACAATAACTACTAATCTGAAGGTGTGCAAGGACACACTCACTTCCAAGTGATGCAAAGGTTTTGGAATACTCACCATCGTCCATAATCCCGATGGTCACCCCTTTCCCGGTGTATCCCAGCTCCCAGGCCTCTGCCACATTCAAGTCAAGGCCAGGTGTGCCATCAGCCTGCCCGGTGTTGATCTGGTACAGAAATGCCAAAGCAGAGAATCTGTTGGTTGGGCAAAGTAAAGCCTGTGTGTAGATGGTTCGTTGGATGTGCTCAGCAGCTACCTGTGGTCACAGGGCCAGTGAAAGGCCAAATCCCCATGAAATAGCACTTTGGGATGTGCTTCTCACTTCCTCACACTTTTCCCTATTTTTTTCACATAAGTGATTGATGCCTCACATTTTATGTAAGTGTGCAAAAGTGGCTTCAATCCTCTCATTTCTGTAACTAGATGTTTATGTTTAAACTCATTTTGTATCAAATCCTGGAGCTGTCATTGCCAAAAGAGCTTCCTTGATTCAGAATCAAAAGTTTACTCTTGAAACTCTTTGTTCATGCTTCACAGTTTGAATTTAGCATGTGCTGTCATGGGTTATCCTTATTAAACATAACTTCAGTATTAATGATACTATATCCAAGGGGAAGTACCAACATAGAGTTGCTAAAAAAATTTGTCCAATTTGATGTGCTTCTCACTTCCTCACACTTTTCCCTATTTTTTTCACATAAGTGATTGATGCCTCACATTTTATGTAAGTGTGCAAAAGTGGCTTCAATCCTCTCATTTCTGTAACTAGATGTTTATGTTTAAACTCATTTTGTATCAAATCCTGGAGCTGTCATTGCCAAAAGAGCTTCCTTGATTCAGAATCAAAAGTTTACTCTTGAAACTCTTTGTTCATGCTTCACAGTTTGAATTTAGCATGTGCTGTCATGGGTTATCCTTATTAAACATAACTTCAGTATTAATGATACTATATCCAAGGGGAAGTACCAACATAGAGTTGCTAAAAAAATTTGTCCAATTTGAATTAAAAAGATAAGTGGCCCATCCTACCTTTCATACAAGTACTAAAGCTAGAAAATTAAGCCCCCTTGAGAAAGAAAAAGGAAGACAAATATATTCCCATTATTATGTTTACTTCTCTCTTTGCGTGCAGACTTTTATGTGCATCTTTTTATGTGCAGACTTTCTCAAAGATGGTTTGTCAAATAGTTAAGTCAGAGCTTTAAATGACACAGTGGTAAGTGGCTATTGTGTGAATGTCATTTGTGCTTTTCAAAAAAATTACTGTCTTCATTTTTCACACTCGGGTGATGGCTAGTCCTCTCCATCTCCTCTGATGTAAGGATGGGCATGTGAATGGTGGTGGCCAGTGGCAGGGGAGGTTATAAGTCATTTGTCACATCCATGTGGAAGTTTTAAGAGCCAGGATCCAATCTTCCCCCTTTCCTTGCTAAGATGCTTACAAAAGCAGCTGAGATGGAGCTTAGTCAGTCTAAGTCCCTGAAGGATTATGAAGCATTAATCAGCAAATCACTGTGATTTGGAGATTGTGTGTTACTGAAGCAAATGTAGGCTATCCTGACTAACAAACATAGGCTCATGAGGCAGAGTTGAGTTCTAAGCTCCAGGAGGGAAACTGAACGCATCCCAGAAGTTCACAGGGCTGTGATTTAGCATTTTCTCTTTGTCACTAGCTTTTAATCTTAAACAAAATGAAGTTTCATTCCCATGCATGAATTAGTACCTGTCCCCGACAGTGTGCCCTGCAGCTCAGGTTTGCTGGGACTCCCTGATCTTTTAAACAAAACCCAAGTGGTCTACAAGGATCATGAAAACTTCTATAAAGTCAGAAAATACTGTTGTCACCAGACAGACTGGGTGTCAGAGCCTGGAATCTTATATCCATTCAGCCTCAGGGAATTGATTTCTTGCCATTGCAAGAAGCACTAAGAGATGTTACTTTTGCTACTGTAGTTTCTGAGCTCTCTTGCTTAGCCCTTGTGTGGCCGCAGGATTCTTTCTGTTATGGTTTGTGATTGGATGCCCCCTCAAAGCCTCAAAAGTGGCTGAATCTAGCATTTGTGATTGATTCTTTGTCTAGTTCTGGGATTGATGGTGTGAGTGCTGCACCAGCCCAGGAGCAGGTAGCTGGCATACAATAGAAGGGAGCAAAAGAAGTCTGCTTCCCCTGATTTTTGCTGTTTCATTCTTGCCCCTCAGCCATGCCACCCTGCCCTGGAACCAGCTGATTATGGACTGAACCTTTCAAGAACTACAAGCTAAATGAACTGTTGCTTCTGTCACTTTGGGCATCAGGTATTTTATATCAGCAACAAGAGAAAAGTAACCAAGACACTTTTTCTTGAGCCTGCGACATTGTTGGCCTTTGATTACTCTAGGTCCTGAGAATCCTAGACCTCGATTTGATGTTTATGTGTTTTTGCAAGCCTTCACTCACATATGAGTAAGCTTTTTTAGAATTTAGTAGAATGTGACCTGTCATTTGTAGTAGCTTTGATCCTAGGAGGTCATAGCTACTTGGTAATTCCAGAATAAAGCAGTTCAAGGGAGAAGGTGATAGAAAGTTCATGCACAGAGAGGTTCATGAAACCAAATGCTGGCTAACATCCCACTGACTGAGGAGGAAACAGAAATGCATCTTTTATGTAGGGTTGTGGCATGAGAGGCATTAGAAATATCAGTTGCTTACCAGGTACCACTGCTTTGTAAAAAGAGGATCATTCATGTTGATGTCAATCTCGTTGATGTCTCTGTACCCTCGCTTCTTTCGGTCAAACCCTTCCTGTTGCAAGGCCATCTTTACCTGGAATGACAAGGGGGATAAATGATCAAGTAACAACTTGAACATTCCTCTTCTGGAGTTGATTCTCACAAAGTCGGATTTCACTTGTAAATAATGCAATTTTTTCCCTTAGTACAAGCAAATTCATCACACGCAGATTCACTTTATAATTATTTTCCAACCACAATTACTTATAGTTGTACTGAACAATCCAGACATGCTGATGGCTCAAAGTAAGTTTTCATAAAATAAGAATAAAATGGAGAAAAATGTTCTCCAGGAAGATACAGTGGTGGGGGTTATTAAGTGAAATAAAATAAAACAATGGAATATTTCTGTGAAGGGAAGGGGATTGATGTGGGTTTGGGAAGGGGAAGCGTGAACATTTCTAGAGGGCTTCTCCAAACCCTCACATTTGTTGACAGTCCTGTGTTATTACATTAGAGAATCAGAAACAAAAGAAACAACACAAAATGAAACAAACCACAAAACTTCACAATAGAAACAAAACCAAAACCCAAAACACTGCCAACGCAAAGCCACACCCACTGGAAAGGCTGCAAGTCCCATAGCAAAGCTCTAGGTGTGCAGGAAAACTTCAAAAGGAAATTGATGGATGGTGCTGCTGGCACTGAGAACATTTCATTTCTGGACACTGAGACTGAAGCCCAAGATTATGGATGGAAAGTAAACTTAGGAAGCTGAGTTAGTTCAAGCCGGCTCCTGGCTGTGGCAGGCTTTGTCCAACCAGGAGATTTGATTTTGCTTGGACATTTACCACTTTATCCACCAGCAGCAGTGGCCAATCTGACCATCTACAAATTCAGTGACTGGCTGTGTGGACACAGGGTGTGCGCTGGATATTTATTATGATTATTTCTGTGTTTGTGGGTCAACATTCATTTTTCCTCTTCCCAGTTCTCTGTAGTGTTTGTGTGTGTGTGTGTGTGGGGGGGATTTTCTTGATTCCACTGGGTTCTGTGTACTTGGGAGTGGAATTCTGGGTGCTGTTTGCTGTAAACACTGGGGACTGTCTGGACCTCAAGGTGTTAACAGTCAGGGTAAAATGGAGCTAAAAGTTAGAATTTTTTTTCTGCTGCAGTTCCAACTTCATGGGGCCAGTGGATACTCGCCACCCATGCCTCTCCTCTTCTTAGCCCACGTGAATGGACAGAATATGCAGATATAGGACCTGCGGCATTAAAGTTCAGTTTTCTTAATTTCCCCAAGTCAGGGAGGAAGTGGAAGATGGTGGGCAGAGACAAAGCAAGCCTGCCTGTTGTCTTGGTGAATTCCCTCTCTTCTGTCCTCTTTACTATAAAAGGACCTTGCACACCTGAACTAGGTGAGATGGTGATTTGTGGCAATATGAGGCATCTCCATCTTGGGCAGAGCTTTGAATAAAATATTTTTCCTTTCACATACACACTCACAATGGCCTTGTGTTCTTTGTGGAGCCATGAGCTTAGGGACCTGTGTGGCTGGTATCAGTTTAGCATGTGGTCCTGAGCAGCTGGGGACAAGGGTGACATCACAGTTACCTCACAACCAAGATTTGAATCTCAAGAGAGTGATGCAAGAGTGAGAAACCTTGGGGCCTCTTCACTCCTCAGTTCTCCCCGTGAAGGATCCTGGCCATAGTGCTTGCACCCCAGCTGGGAGAGAGACTGACCCTTTGGCCGCATGGAAGCACCCTGACATCCCTGTCCCAGCTTCTCTTCTGAGAATCCATTTCTGTTGCACTCAGTCAGGAACCTAGACTGGTGTGGGGTGGGAGGAGGGAGGCAAGGGCAGAGACGAGGCGAGGGTGGTGGTAGAGGCAGAAGAGTGAAGAGACCCGGATGCTGTGGGGACCTGACCGTGGATCACCCTGGGGAGATGAAACCAGCTCCTGGCTCTGTGCTCTACACACCCTTCCAGGAGGGTCAGGCTCACTTGCCAGAAAAATTATAATTATCAGGAATGCTATCATATAGGAAAGAAGGGTCAGATAGGCATGAATTCTTGGAGATATTTTAAACAGGGACATTGCAACACAGTTAAAAAATACCCCCCCCCAAAGGAATAGCAAAATTATTGCAAAAATGAGATAAGTGAATGCTTTTATAATGACAAAAATCTGGACCCAACTAATGCCCCATCAAATGCAAATGAATTGTTATTCAAACACGCACATACATATCAGTATATGTATAAATGTGTGTGGCCATATAAATCTGCAAAATGTATATGCATACACATTCTCTCTCTCTCTCTCTCTCTCTCTCTCTCTCTCTCTCTCTCTCTCTCTCTCTCTTTCAGAACAAGAGGCAGTGGGGAAGGACTTTATTAGGTAAAAAACAACAACAACAAAAAAATAAAACAAAAAAAAAAGCCAAGAAACCATGCTGTGAGTCTGACTCCAAGTCAAGGAGCAAGTGATCAGAACTGGGCAAAGCCATCCTAGAGTGCCCTGAGGTCTAAGGAAGCATCAGGAAGACTGCTGAGGACCCAGCTGGGGCTGTCTCAGTATCCCTGCTTGCCTTAGCCGCTGGCCAAGAGTGCTAAGGGAAGGAATAGCTTGGTCATATAGTAATAGGTTTCAGGGTGCAGAGCTGGGGTGCCTGGGCAGGTGTGTCTGTGGAAGTCAGAAGTCTGTACTATATACTCATCCTCATAGTTGCTACAGAATATATGTGGGTATGCGTGTGTGTTCCTTAATGTAGAACATTTAAGGTGTCCATTGGAAATGAGTAGCTCTTAACCTGGAAAGGGAGGCATAGCACACTTCTCTTGAAATCATCTTTTGCTATAGAAGCCAGAATTTAAACATGAGTTGCTACTGCTTGGGGAAGGCAGAGCCTGGATCCAGAGACTGCAGCTTCCCAGCTTTGGAGCCACAGTGGGTCTTTTCTGCTCCTAATGGGAGCCTGGGCTGGCTTTGTTGAGGGCTTCTCATTATGCTGGACTCATTGCCATGAATAACTTCCCAGAGGCAGCACTGTGCTTTTCTAAGAGCTTTGGGAAGCAAGAACAACTACCATGCAGAAGTTTAACAACTCATCTCAGGGTGGTTTCTTAGCAGAATAAGAAAAGAACAAATCTCATGACAGATTTCATCTTCTTAAGTAGCAGTGCAGAAATGGCTATCACAATCACTCCAAGCTTTTTCTTTTCTTTTTTTTTATTTAAAGAGAAACAAACAAACAAACAAAAAAACCCATGGAGATAAAAAAGGGTAGAAATATACAGAATTACAGAAAAATAAATGGTAGGAAATCGCCAGTTGATGTTACATATTGTCATCTTAGAAACAGCTGTTCAGGTTACAAAATTAAAGTACGTAAAATGACATTCAAATAGTGACACTACCAACAGTTTTGCTCAATGATCCAACAAAAACTCAGTAATATGGTTATCAGTACTATACACTTGTTTTATATCTTAAAGCGGGTAAGATTAAACACACCAAAACAGAACAAAACAGTTTAAAAAAATAATTTAAAGAAATACAGATTTCAAAGCAAGTCCACTGGAGATCCTCACTGTCTATCTAATTGTCTCTAATTTCTTCCAAATAGTTGTCCCCATCTTCACGCACATTAAATACATACTGCATATTATAGAACTAATCAAATCATTACGGGATGATGAAGGCTTTTTAGGTCTTCAAGATCTGACATTGGGGAAGACAATAATAACTACCATAGTGTCTCTCATTCTCTCAGCAGTAGCTGTCCTTATCTTTACATATGCTGAAATTGAACTTAAAAGACTAGACTAATATCACTTTGATCAGTGAATAATAGTATTGCTAGATTTTATATCATAATGCTACAAAATTAGCATTGGGTTTCTTAGTGTCTCTTCTTCAGAGTATCTGTTCATTATATATTGCATTATATAATCTGTTCCCATAAATAGCTTTTTAAAAAAAATCTTCTCATGCGTGAATTTCTACATGTATATCTATCCTCTCTGTATTATAGGGGAAAACAAATCATAACAAGACAGCAAAACAAATTCCTAGAAAAACATGTAGTGAAAAAAGACACATAAGACCACAATATTAGGTGATCTACCATAGTTACTATGCTTTCTCTTGTTATTTTCAATAGTCTTGTCCACATCATTGGACTTAATATAGTTGAAGATAGTATTACCTAGCTATTTTTATAATAACACAACTTTCAAGACATTGTAGGACTTGAGAGATGTTAATAATTAATACTGGTATGGATATCTTTTACATCTTGTCATCTTCAGAGTAGTTACCTCTACTTTTAGGGTTGATACTATCAAGCATATCAAATTCAAATAAAATCAGCCAAGGCCAAATCACGGTCTTATGAATTAGATTCAAATAAGATCAGTCATAGTAAGACAATATAAGTAGTACAGGATTTCAGCTTAAGTTAATAGGAAATTAAGGATAGTTACCATGGTATAACCTGCTATTTTTGGGTCAGATGTCTGTGCCCCCAAATCCAATATGAGTGGACAGACCAGAACAAATTAAATTCAAACTAAACAGGGCAATAAGACTACTGTGACTTTTAAATCCTGATACACTATTAATAATGACCTCTGCCTTTTTTTATAGTGTATCAAAGCTATCTATACTAAAGCCTATAGCTTACCGTCTCTGCCTCATGTCTGCTACTCCACTTTACTGCTATAATTTGTCCACCTTACTCCCTCTTTCCACTGTCTGCCCTGTTCATTGAGGCCTCTCTGCCACTGTCGCTGGAATGCTGGTATCCCTTCCTCTCTTTCTCTGGAATGTTCTTCAGCACTCTCTGTAGGGTTGGGTTGGTGGCCACAAACTCCCACAGTTCCTCCTTGTCTTGGAAGCATCTTATTTCTCCATTAATTTTGAGAGAGTTTTGATGGGTATATGAGTCTTGGCTGCATATTATTTTCTTTCAGGACTTGAAATATTTCTCCCCATTCCCTTCTTGATTTAAGAGTTTGTGTTGATATTTTGATATCAACCGTTGTTATTTTGATAATTTTCCCATTGTAGGTAATCTGCTTTTTTT